GGCTCACTTAGTTGGTACTATTATTACTTTGCATGCTCTGTTGTAAGCAGGACTGCCTCCTGTGCATAAAATAAGGCAGGAGTCATGAAAAAAAAATACTAGGTGAACATATACCATATGGCACATGCACAGAGGGGCAAATTATTGTGGTCAAAACAGCCTTAAATCTGGCACTCTTAACTTTGACTTTACAAACAAAATAACATTAAAACGGACATTGTTGTTTAGTCCATCTCTAGTGACAGCTGTATGTGTTGGATCAGTTGGTTGAACAATCTTTGGAAATAAATCAGTGGGACTCCATTCCCAGTCAGAAGTGATCTTGGAATCCCCCCCACCCTCGACAAGGTGCGGAAAGCCATCAAGCAGATGAAGAACGGGAAGGTAGCTAGAGCTGATGGAATCCCTGCCAAAATCTTCAAGCAGTGGGGAGAGAAGCTCACATCACAGCTCTATGCCCTAATCTTAAGGATCTGGAATGATGTGGATATCACAGATGACCTTCAAGCAAGGAGACAAGTCCAACTGTGGAAATTACAGTGGGATCACCTTGCTGTCCACCACAGGAAAGATCATTGTAAGAACCCTCCTAAACTATCTTTTTCCACAGGTTGAAGGGCATCTCCCAGAATTTCAGTGTGGGTTTAGGCCATCAACATAAAAACTTTTCTACATGGCCTTCTTTGACCTCACAAAAGCTTTCAACTCTGTCAACTGAGAAGCACTGTGGAGGATCCTCCTGAAGTATGGATGTTCACCAAAATTCATCAGATTCTTTACCTGCTTCATGATGGTATGAGAGTGGTGGTTCTCAGTAACAAATCTATCACAAATCCTTTTGAGGTTAAGATGGGAGTTAAGCAAGGCTGCATCATTGATCCAACACTCTTCTCAATATTCTTTACTGCAATGTTACAGCTGACCACCAACAAGCTTTCAAATGGATGGTTTAGCTGTGGAACTAAACTACCAAAATGGATGGTCAGCCAACCCCAAGCCACAAACAGGACCACCCCAACCTCAATCATTGAGCTCCAGTATACTGATGATACTGTAGTGTTGCGCTAACTTAGAAGCAAACCTTCAGGCAATCATTGACATCTTTACTGAGACATACAAGAAAATGGAACTTACGTTTAACATTCAGAAGCCTAAGGTCCTCCAGCAACAAGCTCTTAATGAGTAGTTCCCAACTCTGGTAATTCAGATTCATGGTGAGACTGGAGACTGTCAAGTATTTCCTGTACCTCAAAAGCTCTCTTGCAGAAAGCTGACATCAACAAAGAAACCCAACATAGCCTCCAATGCGTAAGTGCAGCCTCCAGATGCCTGAAGAAATGGGTGTTTGAAGATTGTGACATTAGATTAAAAACCAGGCTCCTGGTTTATCAAGAAGTTGTGATCCCCACCTTACTATACAGAGCTGAGATGTGGACGGCATACAGGAGACGCTGCAAGAGTTGGTCAATTCCAGATAGATCTCATCAGCCATCTTCAGATCTACAGATAAGACAGTCATGGAAGACAATCATCCTCAACTGCGAGGGATTGCCAAGGATGATGATGAGTGACAGCTGTATAATGTTGGATCCGTTGGTTGAACAACCTCGCGTACCAAAGTAGAGTTCCACATGTCCATATTCATGATTCCCAATCCCTGAGTGAGCCATTAGTCAACTTGTAATGACAAATCTGCAGTATGCTTAATCATTTTGATTTAAAATGAAGAAAAACAGGAGCATCTGATTAACTTATTTCTCATACATGTGCACAGGCTTTACAGGATTGGCAGAAGAGAGTTGGGATGACCTCTCCCCACTGGGGCATTATAGTCTTCTGAAGCACGAGACATAATTATAGTAGATATATCCCAAATACTTACTATTGGTGGAACTCAGTTATTCCTATTTTCTAACTATTGTATTTTTCAAAATATAGCAGAAATAGGGAGGATGCCTGGTTGGAAATGCTGGATCCTTTATTAGGAATGCAACAGGTCTTTATAAGTAATATATCTTTATATTTGCTAAAACCTGAGACCTTGACAATAAGATCATACTGAGAAGCTGCTCCGGTGCTATATCTTAACAATGAATATGAAATGCCTATTACTGATATATAGCAATTAGCTAAACAGCATCTGGGAAATGGTAGAAAAGACCTGGGGGGCAGTCATCATCACCTTGAGGGCCCATAGGAAAAAAAAAAAAATCTCTAAATTTGGCCTAATCCTGGAAAGTTCTGAGACCCTCTAATTCAGATTTAAATCAATGGGAAATCTGGTTGCTCGTTGCCTTTCCGGGGAAGTCCTATTTAATGCGGCTTAACATTAAATAACTCTGAGACTGTTCTTTTTTCTTCTTTTTTTTTTTGCAGGATTAGTTACAGCATTTTGTAAGGGGAATATTACAGTAGTTTGAGGTGCCAAGGGAGGGTACTTGGCCTAACAACCGGCTGCCTTATCATACTTAATTGCTTATGTAATTAGTTAACTGAAATTCCGAATATCTGCTCCATGGAAAATTCCAATATTTCAAAATTTCCTTTCATCCCAAATTGGAATGAAAAGTCAATATTTAAAACATTATTATGAAATAAAAATCCTGATATTTTTAATTCACAGAAACATCAAAAGAGATGCAAATGGTCCAGTACTTCAGTAAAGCTAAAATACTGTTTCTCATTTTGCTATAATATACCACCATTTATTCAGTACTACCCTAAGCTGCCTCCTCTTTCCACCCTCCCTGAATCAGATGTACAACTTCCTTCAGGAAGCCTGAACAAAGAAAAAAAGATTTTTTTATGAGTCTTACCTGCCATGACACCAGCTCACTCAAGGCTGAAAGCACTGGATTCAAGGAACAGGAGCAAAGTCCCATCATTGGCATCACTGCTGCTTGGCCAACAGCTGTTGACAATTCAGCAAAAGCTGTGGCAGAGTTAAATCTGTAGCTGTTGCCCTGCAGCAAGAGGAGGGGAATGATGCTGATAACAGGACTCCACCCAATAGCATAATGAAGGGGAGGGAACTGGGATACCAGTCTTGGACATGGACCTTGAGTGGGGCCAAAAAAAGAGCAGTATTTAAGCTGACAGCTGCAGTACAGCCAATGACATTGTCCTGTGCTGTTGTTCAGGGCACTCAAGCATTCAGTTATGTCTCTGACTGCCCTTCTCCCTGCCCTGGGAAGGTTCAGCTTCAGGTAAACTGGTGCACAGCACAGCCCTATGCCACCTTTCCAGTGTTCCCAAGCCTCCATTCTGGTACAGAAATCAGTTTCCTCACTTAGAACATGTGCCCTAGTTTGCATGGCTAATTTTCAGGAAAAAAGACGCTTATGGTATGCAAGTAAATACAGCATTGCCTATATTACCAATAGGTTACAATAAAAAAAAAAATCAGCATTGAAATATACATAAAACATTTTGATCATTTGCAACAAAAGCTTTTGATGAAGTCAAGACATTCATTCAAAACATTTAAATCTTTTGGAATCAGCATTTTCTGATGGAAGAGCATCAATGAGGAAAATCAGCTTTAAGTAATATATCTTATAAAAACATCATTATGAAGGAAGGAATCTGACTTTCCTTTATAACGCTGTTATGATAATGCTAAGGAAATATCTGACTGTGGTGGCTAGTATCACTTCAGTATCAAGACTTATTATACTGTTCTTATAATGAGGTAAGACCATTTATCAAATAATGAACTCCAGGAAATTGAGTTGCCCTAGATAACCAGACTCTGGGTGCACTGATGACACCTGGCAATGTCTTTCATACTTTAAGCATGCCATCAGCCAGAGTAACTGCATGCATTGTGTTATCACTTCCATGTCACATATTAGCGGTTCTTGCCTGGGAGTCTTTGTTCAGCTGGTGATGTATGTAGATGATACAGTGTGACAAACATCTGTCTCTGCAATCTACACAGAGAAGCAATAGGAAAGGTTATCCCCTGTCCACCCTCAGGGATTTCCAGCTGGTGCCAGATAGGGCTTTCAGGCAGAAAAAACATTAAGTGGTGCCTTGCATCCTCAGACAGTTTAGTGAAACCAGAAGGCCACGCTCAGATGAGCAGACTCAAAAACAGAAAGAGTGTGGGTTTTTCTATATCTATTTCATCTGTCTTAAAGGCCACCATCCTCTTCACAAAGGTCTCCAAAATGAAGTCCCAAGTCTGCCTCTTCACCAGATTCCTTTATAGAGGCTTTTGGCCCTCTACGTCATCTCTGTAACTCATTTTTGCTATTTATCTTGACCTCTCACCTGTGACGAGCTTGTGGTTTATAAAACATCCTTTTTCTTTCTTGGGTATCTTGGACTTGAATTTTGTATTGTGTCTTGACACCACGGGGAAAGAAAACCTGCCAGACTGAGAGAAGGGGGGAGGTGGGGACAGTTCCACCCACTAAGGGGATGCGGGAAGTAGAGAAAATAGTCATTTTCCTATTTTAACAACTTAAAGTAGAAGCAGCAAAACATGCACGTCTGTTCCAACAATTCGTGCATGAAAATCTTTTTCAGCATATGGCACTCTTGACCTTATAGTGTTGCTCCTATAAGAGGGAACAGGACAAGTTGGCAAGGGCAAGGGGCCTTTGAGCAGAACAAGCCCCAAGGTGCCAGGAGCTCCCTCTGCAGCGGTGCCAGGGGCAAGCACAGGTGCCCTCTTTCCTGATCAGCTCCCATTAGAAGCACCCCCCCCACCCCAGCTAGAAAGCTCAGGGATCCCCTGCCCTACCCGCCCTCCCCAAGGCAGGGTGGTGGCAGACAGCAGGAGATACCACATCGCCTCTGGTTTCCCCCCTGCTCTGTCAACTTCGCCAGAGGCTGCTCTCAGGGCAAGGCCTGCCCCTGGCCACCCCCATCCATCAGCTCGTGGCAGAGATGGACGGAGGCAGCGCTGCCTAGTCCCATCCCCCTCCGGGTTTTTTTTTCCCCTCCTCCCTCCCGGCCCCACTCCCAACCTCCTCTGTTTGCTTCTCCTCCCCCTGCCTTGTGACACACGGAGGGAGAGGGAGAGAGAAGGGCTCTTCCCTGGCAGCTCCTCTCTGCTGCTGCCGGTGCCGCAGTCATGGCTGCGGACGGGGGGGACGAGCGGTCCCCGCTGCTCTCGGCGCCCAGCTCCGGCAGCGTCACCCCGACCGCGCCTCCCTACCTGCCCGACGGCAGCCCCCGAGGTAAGGCCCGCGGAGGGGCTGCAGGGCCCGCGGCGCAGCCAGCGGGGGAGGCAGGACGATGAGTTTGCAAGGCGCTGCCTCTGCAGCCATCGGGCTGGGGGCACCTCCTTGCCGTGCCCTTGAGGGGCTCCCGGCCCCGCCACGGGGGAGCCTCAACTTCTCCGAGGGCCCCTTGGCGGCGGCTAAGGGCGGCCCCGGCTGCCTTCCCGGGGTGGGGGGCCCAGCCCAGCCCGCCCGCTGCGGGCTTCTCCCCGTGACACTCCCCAGCCCCGCAGGCCAGGGGTGGGGGTCCTGCCTGGCCTTGAAATTTCCCTCCTGCTCCAGCCCATTGTTCACTCGGAGTCATGTTGCCCGGCGGCCCGTCGTCCTGCGGCCCCGGCTCCTCTCTCTCTCCTAGAATTGCGGAAAAGCTGCGGGACAACAGGTAGTACTGGGGGAAGGGAAGGACAGGGCAGCGTGGATCCCCCAATTCGTATGGGAAGTAAAAAAAAAAAAAAAAA